AGCCAACCCAGGCTCGATTTGCGTATTTCTAATTTATATATATCGCTTGTCAAACTTCTGTTTTTATAACTTTTCAATAGTTTTTTTCCACTCGCTTTGCCCGTGCGCCGTTTAATATGCAACAATTGTCGTCAAATGTTTAACAGCGGCAAAAATAGAAGAGCGAAAATTGCAAGCAAAATTAACGGCAGAGCAAACCGAAAACGCGAAAAGTTTTGCGTCCCAACCTGGAGTTGCCGCCGCACCCAACTGCCCCCCCCTTCTGGCCTGCTACCCCGACAGCGCTCTACAACTGGCCAACCCCCGGCCCGGCTCGGCCCGCTATGCTGGCTACCAATCGTTAGGTAGCCGCCCTTGGCATAACTCCGCATTGCAACGGCCGGCTCCCAACGCTATCCCGCTCTGGCCCCGGCCACGCCCCGCGGGCAGCACTCAGCTGGCGCACTTTGTCCGGCACAAAGACGACTTCAAACGCGCGGCACGTCAACGTTTTGCATGCCTCGTTGAAGGCAGCAATTGCATTGCGTTTTTGTTGTTTTTGTTGCTGTTGTCGTTGTTTACATTTAATTCTACTTTATGTTTGCTGTTGTTGTTGCTGTGTTTTTAATTGTTGTTTTTGTTGTTGTTGTTGCTGTTGTTGTTGTATATGTATTTTGTTTCAAGCCTTTCACAGACCAATTGTCACGGCAGTCGTCGCGCCGCCCCATGCCATTTGATTCCATTCCAACTCGTTCCTCGCTTTAAACAATTACAATTCAAAAATCATTGACGCGCCAAAAAGTTCGCACAACTTTTCTAGCCCACAAAGTGACTTCAAAGTATTGCCGCTTGTTATTTTGTAATAATTATTATTTTTATTATAATCATTCACTAATTTGATGCATCAAACACGCGCCCCCAGCTAGGCAACAGTTTTTGTATGCATTTTCCTTTTATGCAGCTGCGTCGAGGCCTGCTCTATGCATGGCATGCATCTAAATGCCTATTTGCTTATAATTAACTGACAACGGGCAGAAAGGGATAAGTGTGTGTGTGTGTGATGGGGTAACCGAGGCGCTGGGCTGGGTCACTAAACACACTCAATCGCTGCAGAGCAGAAACAAAAAAACTCACAGCAATTGCAGCGCCGACGCTCTACATGCATAAATATATAAACAGTTAGTTTAGCTGTCATGAGTAATCGTCATAAATTAATTGTCAACATTTGCATGCACTTAGACACACTCACACACACACACACACGCACGCACATGTGCATTGGGCAAACAGAGAGCCACAGCAAAACTTTGATTAACTTTACCAAGTCGCTGCTACGAGAGCCACGTGTGTCTCTGTGTGTGTGTGTTGGGTAGGTGCGTGTTTGTACTTTAAAAATACTTTTGCATTGACATATTTGTAGTTGGTAGCCCCAGCCGCAGTCTGGCATAGTTGTGGCAGCCCATTAAATTGATGACTAATCAATAAAAACTTAACCAAGACAACTGAAACCAACGGCAAACGTTGTGGAACCGACTGAAACTTGTCGTAGCTATCGTTCGCCCAAGATCACAATTTGTTGTGTTCGCAGCAAAACCGACAAAAAAAGCAGAAAGAAAAGAAAAAGAAGCAGCAGAACAAAACGATTGTGTTGCTTTCGCAAATTGTACGCCTAATGTGAAAATTTGCGAAAATTTATGGCGACAGGCGAAATGGTTGCATGAAATGCATCCAGTCGTCGCCATCGTTGTTGCTCGTTGGCACGTTGATTATACGCAAAAATCAAAAATAATTAAAATTTCACATTTTAATGTTTTGGCCGCCAGCCAAAATTATACAAAACATAAGCAAAACAAGGGAAAAGATGAGTATGAAACAAGCGAGAAATGAGCTAAACGTGCGAACGAAATGCGCGATATTTTCATATTAATGACGAGAAGTATTCAAAAAAAAAATATTCCAAATCAATTGAATGAAGTGGAGTTGCCGATTGGAAAAGTCTGAAATATATATATATATATATATATATTATATATAAAAATCAAAGTCAAAATTAATATTGATAATGCGCAACGCATGGGATCAGAGAAAGCAGTGCGTCAAGCAGTTCGAATTGAATTGCCTTAAGGCACTCGGATGACAAAAGCTGAGTGCTATGCAACTGAAGATGAGTTTTAATGAATTTGCTCAATTGTTAGCCAAATTCCAGGCATATTCCTAGGGCTATGAAATGTAGTTCAACTCTGCTGGCATAAGAGTGAGGTATATGCATATATATATATATATATGTCAGTTCATAGCAAGCAGTAACTGTCAGCTGTCAGCCAGGACTCTCCGTGCGACAACTGTCAACTGTGTTTAAGCTGCTGTGTGCGCTCACATCGGACATACATCTAGTAGCTGCAGCTAATTAGCTAGGCGTGGAAATAAAAACAGAACAAGGTAAGGTAGGCACTCACCTTTCTTGGGTATGAGGGATTTGAGCAGCATGACGGCATTATCATCACAGGCCCAGGCATGCATCTTGCGGTAGCTGTCGCGACCCTTCTCAGTCAGCTTATCCCAGGGCTTTGGCTTGCTGAGCAGCTCGGAGACGGTGCCCTGGGACAGGCCCAATATGTATTTGGCAAACAGCCGCTGGCCAATGTTGTGTACGGAGAGCAGTTCGCGAACGCGACGCGAGATGTGCAGCGTATCGAGCGCCTGATTGGCATATTTGTCCATGTTGTAGCGCAGCATCTCCTGCAGCTTGGCCTCCATGGGATCACCTTTGGGTATCAGCGATTCGCCCAATCGACCCGCCATCGAAACGCCCGGCTGCAGTTGCAGCTCGGCGTCCGCAAAGCGAAAATGCGCACGCGCCTCTTGGCCAGCGGCGGCGGCAGCCGCAAACTGGAAAGCCGGCAGGCTGGGAAGATTGGGCAGAAAGCTGGGTGCACCCAAGGCGGCGGCATGCTGGGCATGTGCAGCCATCGCGGCGGCGGCCACAGCTGCATTCGCATTCGGAGTCAGACTGTTGTTGTTGTCCTCGGCAACTGCAACAGCGGCGGCAGCCACATTGGCAGCAGCCGCTGCCTGCAGCAGCGACTTGTTGCCGTTCAGCGTGCTGGCAATGCTCGCCGCCAGCTGGGCGGTGCTGTTCGGTGTGCTGTTGGCGCTGGATGAGTTCGAGTCGGCGCCATGATGTAAATGGTGAGCCGTATGCAACAGTTGGCCATGCGCATGGCCATGGTGGTGCGCATGATGATGATGATTCAGCGGATCGCTGCCGGCGATGCTGCTGCTGCTGCTATTGCTGCTGTTGTGCAGAAGTTGCTGCTGCTGCAGCTGTGGCTGTTGCTGCTGCTGTTGCTGCTGCTGCTGCTGTTGCTGCTGGAGTTGATGGTGTGTGGCGGCATCTAAGCGTGCGGATTTGGAATTGGAACAAGAGGAGTGATTGGCATGTGAGAAAGTTGAGTTAACCAATTGACTGAGCAGCACAGTGGACGAGGGTCCATGTTGTTGCTGCTGTTGTTGTTGCTGCTGTTGTTGTTGTTGTTGATAGTGTTGTTGTTGATGTTGTTGTTGTTGTTGTTGTTGTTGCTGCTGCTGTGGCGGTGGCGGTGGGGGCAACAATTGCTGCTGCACCACATTGGCATTTTGATAAATTGTTGGCGTTTTGCTCCCAGTTGCAGTTGCAGTTGCAGCTGCTGTTGCTGCTGGTGTTGCTGGTGCTGTAGCTGCTGTTGCTGCTGCTGCTGCTGCTGCTGCTGTGCTCGCTTCGAAGCCACGCCTCCAATAGCTATTAACCAGCTGTTCTTCTAGCGTTTGGGCTGGAGCCGGAGCCTCGTCTATTACCTCGTCTGTGTCTATGATTTCGATTTTGGGCTGCAAATTGGCCTCGACCAGTGTTTCATTCTCATTCGTTCCAGTTTTGTTCAATTCTGGCTTGGCAGCTGCTGCTGCTGCGGCGACTGCTGCTGCTGCTGCTGCTGTTGCTGCTGCTGCATCTTCTTCTACAGCTGCCTGATCAGCTGTTGCTGCTACATCTACGGCTTGTTGTTGTTGCGGCATTTCTGCGGGAAACAACAAAAAAGTTGTGCCTTTTGTTGCTGCTACTTATTTGCAATGATCTATCATAAAATACTTGTTTTTTTTTTTTGGTTTTGGTTTTGGTTTTGGTAAAGTATTTGGTATATTTGTTTGGTATACTGATTTTAACAACATCCATGGAACAAAACGCCAAAAATTAATCAAAATTTATATTTTTTTGATTTCTTTCAATTTGTTTCATATTTTTGCTTTTTTTTTAATTGTTTGCCAACAATTTGCACTTTTTGCTTTTCGCTTGCCAATTCGAACAACAAAACAACAAAGAAACTGTGTGTGTGTGTGTGTGTGTGTGTGTGTGATTGTTGTAAATAGAGACTCATAAATATATATATATATATGTAGCACGACAGAGACAGAGTGAGAGAGACAGAGAGAGAGAGAGAGACACAGAGAGATAGCATTGAACCGTGTTGTTGTCGATAATAATAACAATAATAATAATTGTAATAATAATAATAATAATGATGATTGTCAACTGTTGTGTTTGGCTTTATGTATGTATGTAAACATGATCGATAAACATGCAGAGCAACTCAAAGTAAAACAACAACAACAACAACAACAACAACAACGACAACAACAACAACAGTGACAACATACGCAGACGTTCTGATGCAAATATCGTAAATTAAAAAGAAAAAGTAAGAAAAAGTTGAAGAAGGAGACAAACGCGATCGTCGCTGCGTTTCTCTTGTTGACAGCCATAAAAATTGGCGCCTCGATTCTGTTGGCGCCGATAAGAAGTTAACGCAACGGAACGGAACGGAACGATTCGCTAGTCAAACAGATCGGTCGATTGCCCTCCTGGGCGCCGTTCGACGGTCGGAACAAATCAAAGCGTTTCAATAAGCACCGCAACGACATGGAAACGAACTCGAATCTACTGCAGCTAGGTACAGTTGGTACAGCTGCGCGGCTGGATGCATACTCACCATCGCTAACTGCATCGCTGCTGCCATTCTTGAGCGCCTCGGCGGCAAAAGCTTTGGTCCGCTCCAGTAGCAGGGCTTGGAATTTATTGGGATCGTTGGCACAGGCAGCGGCTGCTGCGGCCGCGGCGGCTGTGGCAATGGCCGATTGTGGACTGAGCACATTCAAGTCCAGTGGGCTGCTGCAACGGGAATGAAACGGAAATGAAACAGATGTAAGCATTTTAGCGTTAGGCATGATTTGAAAATTAAACAGATTTGTATATTTATAAGTTGAAAAGCGTCGTAATTAATTTGGTTTCGAAGGAACGAGTTGGAAATGAAACATAAGCATTTGAGGGTCAGTTATGATTTAAAAATGAAACAGATTTGTTTATTAATAGAGTGAAAGGCGTCGAAATTAGTTAGATTCCGATGGAACGAAATGGAAATGAAACATAAGTAAGCATTTGATTTAACAATGAAACAGATTTGTTTATTAATAGAGTGAAAGGCGTCGAAATTAGTTGGATGGAACGAAATGGAAATGAAACAGGAGTATGCAAATGAAAGCATTTAAGTTGTCAGTTAAGAATATGCATTTGAAAGTAACGAGATGGAATTGAAACGCGAGTAACCAAGGTCAGGTATGAGTTGGCAATGAAACAGATGTACTCACTGCTGCTCCTTTTTGATTTTCAGCTCATTGCTGTCCGCTGTGGCTGTGGCATTCGACATTTCGGCGTCGTGGTCCTCGGCATTGTCCTTGTCCTGCTCATCATCGTGGCGATTGTTGACTAAAGCTGAATGTTGCTGTTGCTGCTGATGCTGCTCGCTGTTGGTCATGTGCAGGTCCTCATCATCATCGCCGTCGCCGTCGGCATCGCGCAGCTCATTATCGTGATCATTGTCATCGTCGTCGTCATCGTCGTTGTTGAGCCGATGGCTCGATGTTAGATCAGATGTCTTGAATACGACGTTGTTGTTGTCGCTGCTCTGGCTACTGTGATTGTTGTTGTTGTTGCTGCTGCTGTTATTGTTGTTGCTGTTGCTATTGTTGTTATTGTTGTTGTTTGTCGCAGCGGCATTAGCAGCGGCAGCCAATGCCGTAGCCTCGGCCAGGGCCTCATTTATCTGCTGCTTATCCAAGCGGGCCTCCAAGCGCATTATGTGCTGTCGCTTCACCTCCAAATGCTCTTCGAGCCTCTGGATTTGTACCAGGTGAGTTTGTTCCAAAGCTCGCAGGCGTTGCAACTCATCCAAAAGTGCTTTAATCTGAAATGGATAAATCGTATAGCTAATTAGTATGGACATGGAAACGGGCAGCTTTTAGAACTTTCATTTCTCATATTTTCTATTACTAATAAATTGCAAAGCACGGCATATTGTTTAAGGATATCTTTGGATATATATTTAAACATATGAATAAGAGTGGGAGAGAGAAGCGCAGAGAGATAGAGAGAGGGGAAAGAGTTAGAGTGAGTAGCTGGTAGTCGTTCTGTTTCCCGTTGGCTCATCAGACATTTTCAATCAAAGTTGACTTTTTACAATGATTTTTTTATTTCTAAGTAGCGAACAGACTGTTGTTAATTTTCTGAATTGTTTGGTTGCGCTTGCAATCAGTAGTTGATGAATATTTGAGCCTTGGCACATGTGAAAGCTGCAAACTTTTTGGTTGCATATTTTGTGGCAACTCCGCCATTGTGGTGGCTGTGGTTGCATGGCTCCCTCTCTCTCTGTATATCTGCTTGTTTTTTTGTAATTGCACACATCAATATTTAAACAACAAAAGCAATGCCAGCAAGTCAGGTGAAGACTTTTACGCAGAGGAAAGTCGCGTCGCGTCGCGTCGCATCGCATCGCTGCTCGTCGTGTGTGGAAAAGTTCGAGAGTTATAAAATAATTTTTAATAAAATTAACAACGAGCACGACGACGACGTCGCTGATTGCCTGTGACTCAAGCGAACAGGCCACAGATACAGCCACAGGTGTATGGGCGGGGCGTGGAAGGGGCCAAGGTACAAGCACAATGCATGTGCCTGGCGCTGGGCTGGCATGGAGGCGGGGGCTTGGCAGGCTGTGCGCCTCCGGCGAGCGTTTGAGTTTTTGGGAACTTTGTTTGTTTGATGAAAATATGATAATTGGCAAATTTGACAAGGGAATTTTTCTTAAGTGCGTCAACGACAGCAGCGACGTGAGAGATGTGTGCGCGACGTAAGCTGACTGGGCGGGAGGCGTGGCGCCGCAACAAAGTTGACAAGATAAAGTTTTGCGCCTGGTGGTATGCAACAAAATTTTTTAATGACAGCCAGGTGGCTTGTGTATGTGCGTGTGTGTGCATGTGTGTATGTGTGTGTGTATTTCTTATTATGTGATTAAAATTAATTTAATGGCGCGGTTTTTAATTGACGCATATGCCAAAGGCACTGTCAACACACACACACACACACACAACTTTGTAGAGCGACTTTTGATGGCAACTGTACCGCAGCGCAGGCCGCAAATCAGGCGAATGCCAATTGGTAATTTGCGTGTCATTGCGTTATTTGTGTGGCACGTTAATTTTTATCGTTGCGTCCTATATGACAACAAAGTTGATTGAGTTAAACTTTCGCCTCCCGCACATATGCATATATATTTTATCAATAAACAAACGCAAATGGGCCAGATTATGATTGTTATTATTGGCGCATGCTTGGCTGCGCATACACGTATGCAATAATATATAATTGGCATTAAAAAGGCATCAGCATAAAATATCTATAAATACATATGTATAGATATTTATGTATATGTATGTTGTGTTATATTATGTTATGTTGATGTATGCATGCATAGAAACATGTGTCCTTTCTGCTTCTGTTCCTGGTCCCATGTCATGCCTAGAAATGCTAAGCAGTTAATTTCATTATCAATCAAAAGGCGGCCCGGCCAGCGAGACCCCGCTCCAAGTTGGGCTGGGGTTGCGTGTTCGATTTTTCATTAGCATACGAGACATGTGAGTAGCTGCTAAGGACAACAACTCCCCCAGTTAAAAAGAAGAAGTAGCACATGACAAGACGACAAAAACAACGACGACGACGACGACGACGACTCAAATTAATTGCATAAAAATGTTGTATACGCCTCCTCCCTGCCCATATATAGACCTATTCAAAAACAACAACAAAAAATCCCTTCTGGCTGGCGTCTAATTGCCAACTCAATTGAGTCGCAGCTCTTCCCACGTACAAAACCTTCTCAAAGTGGGAAAAGTAAAAAATTTGTTTTGTTAAATAAACGCAATTAGCATGCGGCGCAAGTGTACGGGTATGCCAAGGGTTGTGCGTCGGTGCGTGTGTGTGTGTGTGTCTTGTTGTGTCTTACACACACACCCACACACACACGAGTTCATTAATAATCAACCGCCCGCCGCATACAATCGCCTTAAAACTACAGCGTTAAGCTGCCGCATTGAAATTTGGCAACAGCGCGTGCTGAAATTTGGCAACGCTTTAGGTAAATATTAATAGATGGGTGCATCTAGACATTTTTGTCATTTTTCGATTTGATTTCACTGCCATATACTATTCGAAGAGCAGCCGAACGAACCGAACAGTTGCTCTCGCTCTGTTGTTTGAGGAATTATTAAAACGATAAATCAACTTTTTGGGGATTTTCGACACAACTCAAAAATCATTTGCAACCCTTTGCGCCAAAAACTTTTGCCTGTCCGATTCGTTGGCTGCCTTTGCGGCTTTGCTGGGATGCCCATGTACGACAGGAGCTGTGGAGGGGGAGAGTTGGGGTAAGCAGGGTGGCTACAACAATCAAACAAAAACTATGAGATGAATGTTTGGCAATTGCGGGTGGGGGTTATTGACTATAAAATTATGAAAATTTACATTTTTCCAACAATGGGAATAGTTGAATATTTAGGTAAGAGACTGTTGGACATTGACTGACAGTTAAGGATGCTGTTTGTTGCTGCTGCTGCCGTTACGGTGTGTGTGTGTGTGTGTGTTAATTGGCGTTGGTTTGCTGCTAGACCGCCTGCCCCACAAAGAAGTGCATGTTGTATGCAAAATAGACAGCGATATTTAGCTGATAGTCTATAGCCGTGTCTACGTCCATGCATATGTAGTATGAAGATATATAAAATATAATAGAACAACAACCCTTGTGTATGCTTTTTTCTCGCTTGGGGCTGTGGTTGGGGTGGCTGTCAGAATTGTAAAAAGTTGCGTAAGTTATGCAAAAATAGACACACACACACATATGCGCATTTGGTGGAAGGGGTTGGGGGTTGGTGTCCCAGGCAGAGACATTAGCATAGAGCTAAAAGCAAACGATTTGTAATTAACAAAATTGCCAGGCAGCCAGCGCGACGACAAGCAGGCTGGCAGGCTGGCAGGCAGGCTGCCAGCAGCCCCAAACAATTGACAAAGCAGTCAATACACATACGCACACACACACACATTCACACATATACACAAAGCACAAGACAACAGCAAAAAACAACAATAACAAACACTCGAAGGCAAAAGACGTTGATGGGCGCACAAAATGTGGCAGCAGGTGGGCGAATTGCTTGGGTCGATGCATAAAACGCCAAAAGGAATTAAGATGCTCTCTCTAACTCCCTCTCTGTATGTGTGTGTGTGTGTGTGATTGCCACATTCATTCATATGTAACAGGGTAAAAAAGGGTTTAATCAGCGAACAGCTTCAGAAACATCTCAGAGCTCACATCTACAAGCGACCAATATACAAATACAAATTAACAATAAGCAATCAAAGATACAAACACACACACACACACACACACACACACACACACACACACAGAGAAGAAGCTGCATATGTAAGTATAAAAATTGTTGTAGCCTTTTAGGCGCGCCAGCTGCCAATGCCAGCAGCAACCGTCAAAGGAATTAAAACTCATTCGGGCAGAAAAATTTAAAAATATATATATACACACATAAATATATACATATATAGATATATATATATATATATATATATATATATATATATATATATATATATATATATGCAATAGATATATATCTAGATATGTATATAAAGAGACAGCACAGCAGAGCCGGAGCTAGAGGCGCGGCAAGGAAGTTGGCTTGGGCGCTATAAAAAAGGGGTTACTTTTCAAGCATGCGGCTAAAGAGGCTTTCGATGCCAGCTCTCTGGGGTGTGGGGGGGCGTGTGTTGTTAATTTCCAAAAAGCCAAAAGACAAATGAGTAAAGAGCAGCGACAGCAGCCGCAGCCATCTCAATGTCGGCGTTTTTTTTTTTTTTTTTTTTTTTTTTGCTGTTCGTTTGTCATTGATTTTTGATTGTTTCAAGTGTGGCGGACAAATGGGGGTGGGCGTCTTAAAGTCTGCCAAGTGCACCCCAGAGCTTTGACGCCAAAAGCTTTTGTCGCATTGTTGCCGCTGCTGCTGCTGTCAGCTGGCAATGCCCAAGTTGGCAATTTGCAACAAAAGACAAAACAAACGCTGGAAAAAAGAATTCTCAAGTTGCAAAGGCAGCGCACATATGAATGAGCAAATGAGTGTGAGTGTGAGTGTGAGTGTATGTGAATGAGTGCATTTGCAAATGCAAGTGATTTGCGTTTAGCATGCGCTTCGATTTATGTTTTTAGTGCGCTAATCAGTTGGTTTAATACTCGTGAATGTATTCATGAGTGCACTCAAAAGTGTATTCGTGAGTGTGTTCATAAATATGCACAGCTACATTATTGATCAATTTATAGCATTGGCAGCACTCATAAAGGCATTGCACTTGTGAGTGTATTCACGAATACGTACAGTTTGAGTACATTCATGAATACATGAATAATTAGCATATTTAACTAGCAATCAATAAAGCCGCGTCTTCATTGAAATGAAGCGCTTTAAGCTCCTAAGTGGCAGGTAATTTTGTATTTTTCATTATTTGTCATTTGCTTGGGGCACAAAGGTGAGCTGCATGCAGCAGGTAACAGTTCGCGGCTGTGGCAGGGGCAACGCCTTGCCAATTCCGCTAAAGGTATAAATCAAACAATTTCGAACAGAGCTCCACACGAAAGGACTTTGAAGCGCGTCTCTCTGCTCCAGCTCAGACACAGAGAAACAGACAGCGAAGGCAGGCCAGGCAGGCGAGGCAGGCAGTTGTGGCAGACAGTCAGACAGACATTTGTACAGTTTTGTCATTCAGTCAGTGATTCAGTGATTCAGTCAGTCAAACAGTCATTCACTTACGCACACACGCACATTATGGCACGGTTATTGAATTGATTTG